TTTCCTATGCTTTGCTTTATATTCCCTTGACTATTTCATAACTACCAGTTTGTACTTCTTAATCCCTTCACCTTTTTCACCTAGCTCCCCAAATCCCCTCCCAGCTGGTAACCATCAGTTTGTTCTCTGCATCTATGAGTCTGTTTCTGTTTTGTTTTGTTCGTTTATTTTGTTTAGATTCCACATGTAAGTGAGATCATATGGTATTTGTCTTTCTCTCTTTGATGTATTTCACTTAGAATAATACCTTCCAAGCCTGTCCATGTTATCACAAATGGTAAGATTTCATTCTTTTTTATGGCCGAGTAATATTCCATTGTACATATGTACCACATCTTTATCCATTCATTAATGGGCATTTAGGTCACTTCCATATCTTGGCTGTTGTAAATAATGCTGCTATGAACATAGGGATGCATATATTGTATCTTTTTGAATTAGTGTTTTGGATTTCTTTGGATAAATACCTAGAAATGGAATTGCTGGGTTATATGGCAGCTCCATTTAAAAATTTTTGAGGAACCTCCATACTGTTCCCCATAGTGGCTGCACCAATTTGCAATCCCACTAACAGTACATGAGGGTACCCTTTTCTCCACATCCCTGTCAACTGTTGTTATTTGTTGATTTATTGATGATAGCCATTCTGACAGGTGTGAGGTGGTATCTCATTGTGGTTTTAATTTGTATTTCTCTGATGATTAGTGACATGCTGTTGAGCATCTTTTCATGTGTCTATCGGCCATCTGTATGTCCTCTTTGGAGAAATGTCTGTTCAGGTCCTCTGCCCATTTTTTAATTGGATTGTTTTTTGTGGGGGTTTTTTTTGTGTTCAGTTACATGAGTTTTTTATAAATTTTGGATATTAACCACTTATCATTTGTATCATTGGTGACTACATTCTCCCATTTAGTAGGTTGTCTTTTTGGGGTTTTGATGGTTTTCTTTGCTGTGCAAAAACTTTCTTGTTTGATGTAGTCCCATTTGTTTATTTTTTTCTTTTGTTTCCCTTGTTGGAGGAGATATATCAGAAAAGAAATATCACTAAGAGCAATGTGAGAGAGTTTACTGCCTATGTTTTATTCCAGGAGTTTTGTGGTTTCGTTTCTTACATTTAAGTCTTTACACCATTTTGAATTTATTCTTTTATATGTTGTAAGGTTAGCTTTACTTATTTATTTTTGCATGTATCTGTGTTTTCCCACACCATTTATTGAATAGAATCTCTTTACCGTACTGCATAGTTTTGCCTCCTTTGTCATAGATTAAATGACCTTATACACATGGGCTTATTTCTGGTCTATTATGTTCCATTGATCTATGTGTCTGTTTTTATGCTCCTATCATGCTGTTTTGATTGCATGGCCTTGTAAGATAGTTCGATGATCAGGTAGCATGATACCTCCAACTTTGTTCTTCTGTGTCAAGATTGCAGTGCCTATTCAAGATCTTTTGTTGTTCTGTATAAATTTTAAGGTGATTTATTCTAGTTATGTGAAAAATACCATTGGTATTTTGATAGAGATTGCATTGAAACTAGATTACTTTGGGTAATATGGACATTTAAAGATGTTAATTCTTCCTATCCATGAGCACGGTATATGCATCAATTTTTTCAGTTTTCTCTTCAAAATCTTATAATTTTGCAAGTGCGAGGTTTTTACCTCTTTGGTTAAATTTATTCGTAGGTATTTTTTTAATGCAATTGTAAATGGGATTGTTTTCTTAATTTCTCTTTCTGAGAATTCGTTGTTGTATAAATATGCAACTGATTTATCAATATTTTGTGTCCTGCTACTTTACTGAATTTTTTTTTTCAGTTCCAATAGATTTTTGGTGGAATCTTTCAGATTCTCTATATACAGTATCATGTCATCGCAAATAATGATAGCTTTATTTTTTCATTTCCAAATTAGATGCCTTTTATTTAAAATTTTTTTTTGTCTGATTTCTGTGGTTAGGACTTCCTACACTATGTTGAATAAAAGTGGTGAAAGTTGGCATCCTTGTCTTGCTCCTGAACTTAAGGAGAATGCTTTTAGCTTTTGCTCATTGAGTATGATAGCTGTGGGTTTGCCATTATGGCCTTTATTATATTACAGAAGTTTCCTATTGTTTCCACTTTGCTGAGAGCTTGTCTCATAAATGGATGCTGTGGATTTTGTCAAATGCTTTTTCTGCATCTATTGATGTGATCATATGATTTTTATCCTTCATTTTGTTTATGTGGTGTATCATGTTAATTCATTGGCAGATATTGAACCAACCTTGCTCCCAGGAATAAATCCCACTTGGTCGTGGTTTATGATCTTTTTAATGTATTGCTGAATTCGATTTGCTAATATTTTGTGGAGGAATTTTGCATCTATATTCATCAGTAAGACAGGCCTATTATTTTCTTTTGTTGTAATATCTTTGTGTGGCTTTGGAATCAGGGTAATGGCGGCTTCATAAATTGAAGTTGGTAACCTGCCCCCTCTTGAATTTTTTGGATAAGTTTGAAAAGGATAGGTGTTAAGTCTTAGAATGTTTGGTAAAATTCAGCTGTGAAACCAGGACTTTTGGTTGTTGGGAGGTTTTTGATACTGATTCAATTTTGTTAGTAGTAATTGGTCTATTCAGAATTTCTTTTTCTTCTTGATTCAGTCTTGGAATATTGTATGTTTCTAGAAGTTTATCCATTTCTTACAGATTATCCAATTTGTTGGCATATAGTTGTTTTGTAATATTTTCTTGTAATCCTTTGTATTTCTGTGGTGTTAGTTGTCATTTCTCTTTCATTTCTGATTTTATTTATTTTGGTCCTCTCTTTTTTTTCTTGAGTCTAGTTAAAGGTTTATTAATTTTGTTTATCTTTTCAAAGAACCAGCTTTTGGTTTCATTCATATTTTGCATTGTTTTTTAGACTATTTCTTTTATATCCACTCTGATATTTATTATTTTTTCTTTTACTCACTTTGGGCTTTGTTTGCGCTTCTTTTTCTAGTTACTATAGGTGTAAGTTTAGACTGTTTATTTGAGATATTTCTTGTTTCTAGAGGTGGGCCTGTTTGCTGTGGATATTCCTCTTAGGACTGCTTGTACTGTGTCCCATAGATTTGGAGTCCTGTGTTTTCGTTTTCATTTGTCTCAAGGTATCTTTTGATTTCTTCCTTGATCTCATTGTTAACTCATTTATTGTTTATTTAGTAGCATTTTATTTATCTTCCATGTGTTTTTCAGGTTTTTTTTCTCTTGTAATTGATTTCTACTTTCATACTATTGTGGTCTGAGAAAATACGTGATATGACTTCAGTCTTCTTAAATTTATTGAAACTTGTTTTGTGACCTAAGATGTGGTCTGTCTTAGAAAATGTTCCATATGCACTTGAAAGGAATGTATATCCTGCTGCTTTGGGGTGAAATGCTCTAAAAAAAATAAATCTATCTGTTCTAATGTGTCGTTTAAGGCCACTGTTTTCTTGTTGATTTTCTGTCTGGAAGATCTATCCATTAATTTCAATGGGGTGTTAAAGTCCCCTACTATAACTCTATTACTGTCAGCCTCTCCCTCTATGTTGGTAAATATTTGCTTTATGCATTTAGGTGCTGCTATGTTGGATGCATAAATGTTTACAAGGGTTATATCCTTTTGTCAGATTGATCCCTTTATCACTATGATGTCCTTTTCCCCTTATTATAGCCTTTTTTTTTTCTTTCCCCCTCCCCCCTACCCTCCACCTCTCAGTCAAGTCGTTGTTCTCAGTCTAGTTGTGGAGGACGCATCTCACTGGCCCATGTTGGTATTATGATCATTGTGCTCTACCTAGCTGAGGCAGTCGGTCGCCGGCCATTGGCTGGCCACTCACGGTGGCTCATGACAGCTCTCGCCAGCTGATGGCCACTCATGCTGGCCACTGGCTGCTCACAGTAGCTCATGGCAGCCCACGGCAGCTCATGCCAGCTGCCAGCCACTTAATGGCAGCCCAGCTCCAGGTCAAGCCGTTGTTCACAATCTTAGCTGTAGAGGGAACAGCTTACTGGCCCCTGTGGGAATTCAACTGGCAACCCTGTTGTTCAGAGCTCGCGCTCTAACCAACTGAGCTATCTGGCCACCCTATAGCCTTTGTTTTAAAGTTTATTTTGTCTGATGTAAGTATTTTTACCCCAGCTTTTTTTTTTTCATTCCATTCACATGGAAATATCTCTTTCCATCCCTTTACTTTCAGTTTGTGTGTATCTTTCGATCTCAAGTGGGCCTTTGGTAGACAGCATATCTGTGGGTCTTGTTTTCTTATCCATTCAACTACCCTGTATCTTTTAACTGGACTATTTAAGTCATTTACATTTAAAGTGATTATTGACAGGTACATAATTATTGCCGTCTTATTATTCACATTTTTCTTCCTTCTTCCTAAAGCAGTCTCTTTCACATTTCTTGTAATACTGGTTTGGTGATGAAATCCTTCAGCTTTTTCTTGGCTGGGAAGTTCTTTATCTGTCCTTCGATTCTATTGGGTTGTTGGAAAAGTCATGACGCATTTTTGCAACGAAAAACAGAAAAAAATACATCATGCCTTTTTCGGCAGCCCAATAAATGCTAGCTTTCCTGGATAGCGTAATCTTGGTTGTAGGTCCTTGTTTTTCATCACTTTGAATATTTTATGCCAATCCCGTCTGGCCTGCAAAGTTTCTGTTGAGAAATCAGCTTATAGTCTTATGGGAGTGCCATTGTGAGCAATCTGTTTCTTAAACATCATTCAAATCAAATTTGAAGAACATAATTGTATACTTTATTTTCTTTATATTATTAAATTAATAGAGATTATTGGGTTCAGGTATAATTTGAACATTTACAGATTTTCGTTTTAAACGTTTTTCTCACAGCAGTGATTTTGCTTTTTGTTTTTAAATTATACGGCATATCTTTATTTTTCCAGTTTAGAAGTTCCTGTCTTTTGGTTTACGCATGTAACTAAATAAGTTTCTCTTCTTTTAATGGTTATATGTCTTCTTTGTAGGCTACTTTAAGAAAAATGGCCCTGTTGGCCCAATGGATACCCAGGAGGTTCAATTCAATTAAATTGAATAGCTTCATTACTGCAACACAGCTCAGAAATTGTTTTCTGGGACCTGGAAAAACATTGTTGCATGGAATTTCTGCTCAGTCTCAGATGTCCTCTGACAATTGCTTTCTCCAGTGGGGATTTAAGACTTATCGGACCTCCTCCGTTTGGAATAATAGTTCCCAGTCTACCATCTCAATTACGCAACAGATTAATTCTGCCCAAAGCACTGCGCTTCCTTCCATGAATGAACCATCACTGAAGATACAAAAGATACCCAACTTTGATTCTGAGCTGTCTCTAGAAGGTAATTCTGAACTTGTAGAAATGTCTCTTTTGCCTCACTTTGGTAGTTTGAACAAACTACCTGTTTACATTTTTAGCCCATCTCAAGTCTTATTTTGTACCAGGCAAGAAAAGTAACAATGCCAGTTCTATTCATTTACTTCTATTACACCCTTATTTTACTAAGAAGAAAAGTTTGTAGATTTATATAAGATTATTTTATAGCTATAAGTACAGCATTTTCTTTCTAAATACTTTATTATTTAAATTTGCCCAAAAAATATTTGTCTGATGATAATAAGATGTACTAGGATATAATTTATATCAAGAAAAAGTCATCCTTTTTGTGTATACAGTTCTATGAATTTTGACATATGCATTTAGTTATGTAGCAACAGCCACAATTAGCGAATAGAACAGTTACATCACCCCAAAAAGCTCCTTCATGTAACTTTTTAGTCAGTCCTCATCCCTCCTGTGCTTCCTATTCTAGGAATATTTCACTGCAAATGAGATAATATTACAATAGATTAAGTAGAATATGAAAGGAAACTGGGGGGTAAGAGGCTAGGAGGAGAGGCTGGCTATAAGAAATGAAAAAGCATAGTGATTAGAAACAAAAAATTTGAACAAAAAGTCCCAGTCCTGATTTCTTATCTTAAGGTATGTTACAGTTCCCAGTATCTTCCATATTGTGTTTAAGACAAAACAAAACCTCAGAATCAAGGCTGTACTAGAGAGAGTAACTTAGCAAAGGACTGCAGGTGGTAGAAATACAATCCTAGAAGTTCTCTTAAAGACATATATGAGAATAACTTGGAGAAGAGGGGATTAGACCAAAATGAAGACATTTCAGGATGTGATGACTTTAACCCAGGGGTCGGCAAACTGCGGCTCCCGAGTCACATGTGGCTCTTTGGGTACGGCTGTCTCAAAAGGCTGACCCCTGGAAGAGCCAATCCTGTCCCTCACAACAATTTAAAAATTATTTGAGAGCCATAAATATATTTTTACATAATCACCATTATGTGAATAATATCCTTTAAAAATTTTATAAATGAAACTATGATAGTTTTATTTTCATTTTCAA